TGTCATGGACTTCGATGATTTATTGGTCGAGCAAGTAGTTGTTAACTGTCATGGATGTCGATGAACTGTTTGGTCCAGCAAGTAGTTGTTAACTGTCATGGACGTCGCTGAACTGTTGGTCGAGCAAGTAGTTGTTAACTGTCATGGATGTCGATGAACTGTTGGTCGAGCAAGTAGTTGTTAACTGTCATGGATGTCGATGAACTATTGGTCGAGCAAGTAGTTTTTAACTGTCATGGATGTCGCTGAACTGTTGGTCGAGCAAGTAGTTTTTAACTGTCATGGATGTCGATGAACTATTGGTCGAGCAAGTAGTTTTTAACTGTCATGGACGTCGATGAACTGTTTGGTCAAGCAAGTAGTTTTTAACTGTCATGGACGTCGACGAACTGTTGGTCGAGCAAGTAGTTGTTAGCTGTCATGGATGTCGATGAACTGTTGGTCGAGCAAGTAGTTGTTAACTGTCATGGATGTCGATGAACTGTTGGTCGAGCAAGTAGTTGTTAACTGTCATGGATGTCGATGAACTGTTGGTCGAGCAAGTAGTTGTTAACTGTCATGGATGTCGATGAACTGTTGGTCGAGCAAGTACTTGTTAACTGTCATGGATGTCGATGAACTGTTGGTCGAGCAAGTAGTTCTTAACTGTTATGGATGTCGATGAACTGTTGGTCGAGCAAGTAGTTTTTAACTGTCATGGACGTCGATGAACTGTTGGTCGAGCAAGTAGTTTTTAACTGTCATGGACGTCGATGAACTGTTGGTCGAGCAAGTAGTTTTTAACTGTCATGGATGTCGATGAACTGTTTGGTCCAACAAGTAGTTGTTAACTGTCATGGATGTCGATGAACTGTTGGTCGAGCAAGTAGTTCTTAACTGTCATTGACGTCCCTGATATGTATAAAGCCGCCAGGGCCGTGTAAGTGTAAAATATTCACATACACCAAAAGTGATCTACGACATAACCTAATCTTTCCGTCAAGCTATGTGGATGCAAGAGAGCAAGATAAATCACTGCAGTGACATTAAAAGAAATAAAACCATAAATATAACCAGAATTAAACTGCAAAAAGAGTGAATGTGTCTGCTCTTGTAGAGAAACATGAAACGTTAAACATTTTTGGGTTGGGCGGGTGGTTGAGTGAGAATCGGAACAAATTACATAACAACTTTATTCTTAAACTGGATTTCAATGTTTATCTGCCTCCACAAATGACATGCGGATATTCTTTACAAATCATCTTATCTAAAATTCGGTTCATTCGGTTAACTCCAACCCATACTCAGTTCCCAATTTTTGACATTTCTGTATATTATGTACGACACGAATGAGCAAACCTGTCGTGTCTCTCTTTAAACACTTGGGAATAGTCCTCTGTGTTTGTGTGTGTGTTTGTATGTGTTTAATCTATACTTGATATATATATACATTTATTAAACAGTTCGTGCTATTTTGATGGCTTGATATGAATTTTGTCATGTTCTATGAGGGTATGTTCGTGTGAACGGCAAATTTCAGCATTTCCAACTGACTATACGTTGACGTTCATTGATTTCTACAGAGGCTCCATCGCCACTCAGGTGGTTGTGTGTGTGCGGGAGGGGGAGCGCTCAGGAACCTTATAGGTTTTAGGTGCGGGGTTAAAAGTGTTCAAACCTTGTTTGAGTGCGCACTAATAATATAAAAATACCAATAATAACTAAAATTATAGTAATACATTGGGGGGGGGGAATAAAATGTATCCACAGATACTTCAAAAAAAAACTCTATCTTCACATGGTACCATTCATATTTGATTCAAAAATTGGGTACCAAACTATTTATAGAATTGTTGGGGGAATTGACTGGGAAGTAAAGCCGATGATGAAGCGAAATGGTCACCTTGACCATGTGTGTCGTAACCCAGAATGTAGCAAGACCTTCACTTCATACCCTGACTTACTGTAGGGCTCTGTCGCTTATAGAATGTTCCAGAAGTGATGTCCATCGTTACAAATCTGTAACTCAGTAACTGTTCAGTGAAAGTTGTTGAAATGTGGCATGCAACTTGCTAATAATCATGTCCTTGTAACAGTTTTTGAAGCACCAAGTATTCGTTTTGCCTTATTTACGGTATTTGACCAAGCATACACTGTTTTAGATCTAGCAGCATGATTACATTTAAGTGAGTACATAAAACTTCAAAATATCAAATTGCACGCTTCGTTTCATTGAGTTTTTACTCGCAGGCGTCATCTCTAGCACTGGACTCCTATGGGTCGTGGATTTGTCATTGTATGTGCAATAGGCTGTCAAAATAGTCACTATACGTCGCTGAACATATGAACAGATTTCCAAACAATGTCAATGCATGTGTCAATTACTCTTTATTCTATTTTTTATGAAAACACAAATTACTAGTCAAAGAAATATTACACAAATAAAAAGCTTTAAAAAAAAAAAAACAATATATGAGCAATTGTAAATTATAAAACGATTTGGACATAGGAAATCAAAGACAACCTGCGAAAATTCGTTTCGTTTTTATCGGAAGCTTTACCTACCATCTCTAGATGTTGAATCTCCAAAAATAGAAGCGCGACTGTTTTCTTAGAGTGGATCGCCATAGAAGGAAATGGGAAAGATTTTTGAATAATCGTTTTTGTGATTTGTAGTTGATCCGTTTGAGAGCATGCATCTTCCCTGTAGCAACATACGGGTGTGAGTCGCGAACTGTCTCCTAGTCTTTAAGAAAGAGAATATGAGCTTTTGAGCTGAGATGCTATCGAAATATTTTCAGAATATCTTGGACGAAAATGAGGAGAAATACTGACATCTTGAAAGATCTGAATCTCAAGGAGGATTTGCTAATAAACAGCATCCTGTCTCGGAAGCTGAAATATTTTTGTCATATCAAGCGCTACGACGGATTGGAAAAAATTAAAGCAAAAGGCATGGTACCAGGAAGGAGGGGCAGGGACCAACCGACACAAAGATGGGCACATAATTTAAGTGACTCCTTGAGAATGAAAGTGCATAAGGGGGGAGAGCTGGCGAGAGGTCGAGTCCCTTTCATGCAGACTGTGATGAGAGCGACGTTCTGCAAGGGACATGCTACATGATCATGATGAGTTGATCCGTATTGCTGGATATTTATACTGTTATGGATTTTTAGTGTTTGTTATCAAAAGTGAATATAGAATATTGGAGAAGGAGAAGAAGAGGAAGAAGAAGAAGGAGAAGAAAAAGAAGATGAAGAAAAAGAAGCAGAAGAAGAAGAAGAAGAAGAAGAAGAAGAAGAAGAAGAAGAAGAAGAAGAAGAAGAAGAAGAAGAAGAAGAAGAAGAAGAAGAAGAAGAAGAAGAAGAAGAAGAAGAAGAAGAAGAAGAAGAAGAAGAAGAAGAAGAAGAAGAAGAAGAAGAAGAAGAAGAAGAAGAAGAAGAAAGAAGAAGAAGAAGAAGAAGAGAGAAGAAGAGAAGAAGAAGAAGAAGAAGAAGAAGAAGAAGAAGAAGAAGAAGAAGAAGAAGAAGAAGAAGAAGAAGAAGAAGAAGAAGAAGAAGAAGAAGAAGAAGAAGAGAAAGAAGAAGAAGAAGAAGAAGAACAAGAAGAACAAGAAGAACAAGAACAAGACGAAAAGGAAGAAGAAAAAGAAGAAAAGAAGAACGAGAACAAGAAAAAGAGTGAGCTGTAAAAGACATTGAAGAAGAGTGAACAGGAAGAGAAAAACTAAAGCAGGAAATAAAGAGTGTATGGAATAAAACAGAGTAGGACAATAAGAAGTGGAGGAGGAGGAGACGAAAAGGGGTAAAAGCGGAGGAGAAAATCGTAAAAGTGCGTCACTTTTACAGAATCAATTCAAATTCTTTGACTGAGTTCACTTAGCAACTTCCGTCATAATGTCATCAAATCACTGTTAAGAAAAGATCAATGAACCGCACCATTGATTCCTTTCTTTTTTCGTCCACATATTTCCCATCTGCAGCTTCCTGTGTTTCCGATGCACTTACCAGAGCAGCAAGTTATTTGAGTTATAATTTGTTTGTTTTTTCTAAAAAAAAGTTTTGGGAGTATTCTTGGCGTTTTATGCTCAAGTTGATTTTAAGTTTCTATATATAAAAATTAACTTTCTTTCTGTCCACCTACATGTGATGATTGTTTCCAAAAATCGTCGCGTAATCTAACTTGGCGTACCAAGTTTTCGATTTCGTTTGTTTTTGTAGAAATGTTATTTCTTGCTTGTTCTTTATTGTCGTCCCTAGAATTATGTGAAGAATATGTTAATATAGATTACGCAGTTGAGCGAAAGAAGCATATAATAGTAACTTTGTAGTCTGCCATACTTGGAACAAGCTACATCAATAGTCAACAGAATAGACAAATATTATTTATAATACACATGTTGTGTTCTAGCTCACTTTAGTATGTAAATGTGCCAGAGGTCAGAGGGTGTGGGAGTACACAGTGATATTAATTGTATGCTTGACGAGTTGAGTGTGGATGATTGAACCAATGGGGGTTTGTAAAACAGGTGTTTCTCTGCTGTAGCAACCTAGCAGTCGTGCTCGTCTGAAGAAACTCTTGAGCTTGTGATTGAAGAATAATCGGTAAATTTTACGCTGGTCTCCCCATTTACACACACAGCTACACACTAGCTCGCTTTTGTTTGGACAACCTACTGGACACGTCACTTCTTATAGGTCGGCCTCGAGCGATCCGACTTTCACACAAGGTCACGGGGATATTCCGCACTCACGCTCATACCTCGTGTTGTATATTTCACCATGACAAAGCTTTTAACACTTCTAAAACATTTAGATACTGGGTCTAACACACAACCGATGGTGTGTAAATGGGAAGACCGTCGTAAAACTAACCGAATAATCATACTGTAGATAAGTGTTTCCCAACGTTGGACCCATGAACAACGGTTGGGGGGGGGGGCATTTGTTTGTTTGGGGGGGGGGGGGGGAATTCGAAAATGGACTCGTCCAGAGTTTAAGTTTAAATTAACCTATTTCTACTCTCAGTCGCTACTCCAGCTGGGTAAACGTATAGGTAACTTCTGTCCACCATGTTCGTACCCGTGATTTTACTATATTAAAAATTCGGTATATGTTAAATAGGGGGCATAAGAATTTTAGAAAGGCTTAGGTGGGGTATGGCACACACAAAAAGTTGGGAAACACTGCCGTAGATAGTTTAACCAGGTATGCAATGTTCCCCATTTTTTTATATTGCAGCGCAATAGACTAATCGACACTCGAGGGATGATTCTGTCATTATCCCGTGACCCACTTTTTTTTTTTTCTCCAAATATTCTATTATCTAATGTGGGCTCGCTTCCTCGAAAGCTTAGGAAACCTGGAGAAGGAAAATTTAAATGGACATTAAGAACTGTAAACTTATATGGGTTAACATCGGATGGACAGCAACAGACCTGCAGCAAATAATAGCAGCTCGGAAAGTCTTATGGATTAAAAAAAAAGCGACATAAAGAGAAGGATATAGACAGGCAAACTGGATAGACTAGGTAAATTTTACCTGCAGCTAGGGCATTCGAGCTCACCAATATTTGACTGCTGGCCTCGCTTTTTATCATTGTGTGACTACTGGTTCACAAAGGGACTCGTCGTGGCGTTGGCGGTTAGACGCCCGCCTGTTGATTGGAAGGTCGTTGGTTTGCGTCCTGGCGCAACTGGACTTTTTTTTTTTGTTTTTCAAATTACCTTGACTCCGATGTGGATCCAGCTTTGAATGGGTACCAGGTGAAGTCCTTACAGCTGTAACTTTTGGTCCACACTCTTGGGCGCTAAAACTCACTTTTGACTATTGGTTCACACTTGTAGATCGACTAGGTGAATCTTACCTGCAGCGAGGGCATTCGAGCTCACCAACATTTGACCGCTGACCACATTTTTAATTTTTGTGTGACTACTGGTCCACAACAGTGACTTTTCGTCCACACTGTTGAGTGGTGAAACCTAGTTTTGACTACTGAAACACTTGTGACTATTAGTCCACTATTTGTACCCCTGGAACTGCTTTGAAATGGTGGTGCATACTTTTGACTATTGGTCCACATTTGTTAGCAATGAATTTTACTTTTGACTCTTGGCTCCTACTTGTGACTATTGGTCCACGCTTTCGCGCGTTGGACCTAACTTTTTAATATTGGTACACACTTATTATTCTTGGTCCACATTTTTTACCGCTGGACCTTATTTTTGTGACTATTGATCGACACTTTTTACCGGTAGACTTCACTTTTCACTTTAATTTTTGTCGACACTTTTTCGCTACTGCCCATCACTTCTATATTCTTCTAAATATAGTAGCATTATTTTGAAAACTTGATACATGAATTCTCCCAAAACTGCAATGGCTTTTATAAATCACTCACATTGTTCTCGCAATCATTGCTTGGGGCTGTCTTTGAGAAGGTATTTGTCTTCATTAAAAAATGAGATTAAAATTCTAGCCTGATATTCTGTTATTGATTTGTAATGTTTGCAAGGGGACCCTCCATCTCTTTACTTTCCCATCAAAACCGTACGTGACGGTTCACGCTGTAATTAGTGTGCAAACCTGGTGGTGTAAGGATGTAGCTCGACAAACATTCAAACAGTCTTGGTTCGGCCTCAGATATGGGAAATGAGGCTTTTGATGCAAAGTAAAATAAACGAAAATGTATGTCAGGGGTAAAAAGGTAAAGGTAGAGTCGGGAGATGTGAACCCGCGTCATTGCATACGGTTATAAACCATGAGTGCTCTGCCACCAGTACGGACAGCTGATAAGAATTATCCGCCTGTGTCGCCGTTCGCACGCACCTCTGTAGCTACAGCGATGTTCCTCCATTTACCACAGAGTGACAACTCTGCTACCCATTTCCTAGAGGCTGGGTGAACCCCGAGAGCCGCCCGGTTTCAAACACCGACCGTGGGCTGCAGCGAGTCGCAGCTGGATTTGAAAGCGAGCATCTTATCGACTGCGCTTACACGGCCACTGAAAAAAGGAAAATGAATAAATGTAAGAACTTCACATTCAAAGAGTCGCTAAATGGGCATGCGGGACAGGTTACACTCGGCCCTTCCAGACACACGTTCTTTGACACACAAAAATGTTATTTTATCCGTAAACATGATTTCATAAGTACAGAGATGAAAGCATAATATGACAACCATATTCATTTCATTATAATCACATGTACACTCACGCATAAAATTTAAAAAAAAAAAAAACACACACACACAATGTTTAACAATCATTCTAAGCAGGATATCCTTGAAATCATGTCTTAGTGACACGCCCCCCCCCCCTTTTCCCCCACCAACCCCACCCCCCCCTCCCCCATCCTGGCTCCCTCTTTTCCACTCCTGCTCTCCCATTTCCCCCCATGGATATTCAAAGATTTGACCATTGAACCGGAAAGCTGTCATGTTATATATTGCCATGCTACAAATTACGTGCCTGCAGAATACACAAGCCTGAACTTTTTCTTGAGTTGAATAAAAGCAGTCTCTCGTGTTGTTTCTTAAAAATTACATTCATATGAAAGACCCCGGTTTCTCCTGTATATCTATCATAAATTGCATTCACTTAACGGGTAGCAGTCTCTCGTGTATATCTATGAGAAAGTTCAAATGAATCAAAAAATCTCATGTATTCTCTCATAAAGCAAAACGTGTTTTTATTACCAACAAAATATCTATCAGAACGTTCACATAAAAGACACACACAAAAAGTGCCACACACACACACACACACACACACACACACACACACACACACACACACACTGGCCTGTCATGTATATTAAGGGGTCACTACACAAAAATGAGCACTTTTTCAATGTGTTCGTTTTTGTAAAATACACTGGACACACAAAATTTATGTCATTTGTAAACAATTTAGCATTGAAAAGTTAATACTGCGGCACCATTCCGTGCACTTTTTAAAGATAAAAAAAGACAGTCAGTTTTCTCAAATATCTAAGTTCAGTTTGCGTGTATCCTAAAATACAGGATCTATGCGTATGCAGAAACCAAGTTTTGTAACAGCCCATGGCTATTTGTGTGGTTTCTCTAGTATTTTTTAGAAAGTTTGTTTCCAGTAGTTTGCCATTGCTTTCTGGGATGTCGGACTTCAATAAACCTACATAAAACTGTCGAAACCACACGCAAGGCGCCTGTGCCCGCAATAGGGAAAACCTGGATCCCATCATTACGAAGCCTATGTTTGGTTTTTAACATTTTAGGACTTAACCACAGAGCCGACTATTGCCATCTCAACTATATTTTTTAACACTTTAAGTATACAAAACATGCATCCCACAAATGACCAAGAAAAAAGCTCTCTTGTTATGTTTAAAAAGTAAAAGTGACCCATTCATTAAAAATACACTGGTCTCTCGTGCATATTTAGCTAAAAAAGTGCATTCACACAAGAAAAAGACACTGGTCTCTTGTTATGTTTAGCAAACAGGACATTCATAAAAAAAACAGCCCCTGGCCTCGTGTGGTTTATTTGAGTTAAATCAAGAGTTTGCCATTCTTATATGCGTGGACACTGGCTTTCGTGTCGAATTTACGCAAGGCGCATTGCCTGCAGCTGGGATCGCAGCACATTACAAAGGCACGTTCACATCGACTTCATAAATGCATTCACACAATGAAGACACAAGTCTCTTGTTACGTTTAGCAAAAAGTGCATTCATTAAAAAAAGACACTGGTCTCTCATGCATATTTAGCTAAAAATGCATTCACATAATGAAGACATTGGTCTCTTGTTCGTTTAGCAAAAAGTGCATTCATAAAAAAAAAGACACTGGCCTCGTGTATATTTGACCAAGAGTGCATTTATATAAAAAGACGCTGGTCTCTCGTGTATATTTAGCAAAAGGTGCATTCAAATAAAAAGACGCTGGCTTTCGTGTATATTTAGCAAAAGGTGCAGCACATAAAAGGCACTCTCATAAATATTTATGAGAAAGTTCTTTCACATAAAAGGCACAAATCTCTCATAAATATTTATGAGAAAGTTCTTTCACATAGAAGAAACCGATCTCGAATAAATGTTTAACAGAAAGTGCACTAACGCAGAAAGACACCAATCTCTAAAGTATCAACAAGTGCATTAACATAAAAGACCACAGTCTTTCGCGTACGTATATCGGAAAAGCCCACATAAAAAACATCAGTCTGTATGTTTATCATAAGGTACATAAGCCATAAACGATACCTGTCTCTTTGTGTAAATATATATGTATATTTATATATATATATAAACATATATATACGCGAGACTTTTGGTGAGGATTCAGATATATATATATATATATATATATATATATATATATATATATATATATATATATATATATATAAATCGGAAAGCTCACACACGCGACACCGCTGAGAAGGCTTTGGGTTTGAATCCTCATCCAAACGTGTTTTTTTTTTTTTAATTGACTTTGAAACTTCGTGGTCGACCCTGCCTAAATTGGATACCAGCAATTTTCCTGGAAGGTAAAGACGACCGGCGCGATATTGGCCACACAAACTCATTAAACGACGATTGTCTTTTAAAAATATATGCTATAAAATATATACTGACCTACAAAATTTCCCCTAATTTTCTTTTGTAGCTACCAGGTGCAGTCCTGGTAAGTAAAGGCGACCGGCGTAATGCTGACCACATCATCCATCTTGTGCCGATTGGCCTGTACAAAATATATGTCCAACCCTATACGCCTAAAGGCGTGGAGAAGGGTTCTTTACTTTTTACTAACACGAAATCGAATACTCTGGTTAAGGGCTGCAAATATCCACCTACAGCCTTATATATATATTTATATGTATATATTTTCCCTGCACTTTAGCATTCTCTAGAACTAACATCCCAAGGATGAGACTCAAAGACATACACATCCCTGAAGCCTCATGTAATGCAGCTGCATGGGAGCGCTACTCAAACAGTTGGGATGTAACCTGTTGTCCAGTATGGGCAGGTCTGTGTGACCAGTTACCATCATCTTTTCTTCAGAAACCAATAAACATACTTACGTTTCACATGGCGTTTCACGGCAGTTAGTTTTGCAGTGTTTCAGTTGCTTCAAAGTTTCAAAATTAAATAAAGGGCCCTTTCGCCTTCACACGGTATAGGGCATGTAGGGCAAGACCTATATTTTATACAAAAATCGGCATTCGGTGGGCGATGTAGTAGACACCATCAGGCTGGCCGTCTTTACTTTCCATGACTTTTTTTTTCTGGTACTCATTTAACGCTGAGAGCCTTAGTCACGTTTGAAGAAAAAATTTAGACTCCGTCAGGACTTGAACCCACGACCTTCAGAATCCGCAGGCGAGCCGTCAGTTCCTTAACTTAAAGGATTATTATGCTGCACACATATTTTACTAATGTGATTATTACTTTCAGTCTTACATCATAAGGCAATCCCAGTCAGCACAAAGAGACATCTCTTACAAAGCATATTCACTCCCACCCTATGCTACCAGTGCCAGACGTGGTCACTCACAACAAAACATAAAAGAAAATAAGTAACCATGCAAATGAGGTTTGTGAGAAAGACTGTAGGAGTAACCAGGAGAGATAAAATCAGGAATGAGGTCATACAAGATAAAGTAGGCACAGAACCAATTCAAAATTACAGAGACAGCAAATCAAAGTGTTTGCCCACTTAGAGAGAGAAATCCTTCTTATGCTATTCCATACAAGGCAGAAACCAAAAGACTAAATGGACGTAGAGTAAGAGGTAGACCAAAAACATATGGGAAGATAACATCAAAGAAACTCTACAGCACCACAATGTGTCTATCGTCAAAGCAGCCAGAAGAGCACGAAGCAGGACCTTATGTCTCCCTCGACACCCGGTCGTTTACTTTATTTATTTTCTACCTCTTGCTCATTTCATGACCAACCCAGGAGGGCTTACATGTTTGTGGGTTTTATCAATAGTTGTCTATTTACTTCTGAATCTTTAAATCTTTATCTTTTCATCTTTTGTATTTTTTCTTCCTCCATCTTTTTCTTTGAAGTATGTCTAACAGCCTATCTGAAAAGGTTCTAATACCCTTTCATCCCTGTTGCCGAGTACATCTACCAGAGCAGAATAGTGCTGCGGGCCAGATAAGTGCAGTGATATGTTCTTCTTCTCTGCAACCGCAATATTGATGTTATTAGATGAGATATAATGGTGTATCTGCAAGAATCTCTGACTGACAACTGTTACATCCGCTTTTCAGCTTTCCCAAAGCCTCACAAACGTTAGTGGTTCTGATCTAGCAGAGACACTTCTATAGTGTTCGGTGATTTCCTCGTCGTCTGGATTCGAGAGCCCCATTGGGGGGGAAACAAGAATAGACACCACTCCCTCACCAACAAAGCCCGTCGTAAGATTGACTAACTAAAGACTATTCTTTTCGAAGTTGGATTGCATCTGCCCGAGAGGTAAAGGAACAACCAAATGCACACACAACATCAGAAGAATTGATGTACAGTAGTACTGCAGATCTGAATGTTAGTTGCGTATCCTTTTACATTGATAAAATGAACCTAGGCGTGACTTGGATGAACATGGTTTTAGGCCGAACGTCACTCCGACATGCACTTTGTCTTACGACATATTCACTCGCGACATGGCTCACACTCTCTGGATGATTAATTCGTCACTGCTCTCACGTCTATGGTTTTAAACAACACAACGCCGCTCAGCTCCTTTGTAACATGCTATCAGTTTATTCTGGTCCACTTGTTCCACATGCTCAAACAATTATTCAGACTTTCAACGCTTGCGACATATTTAAACACTAGTCATTTGCCGCGGAAATAAAGACTACATCTTCAATTACTACAACACCGTCTTTCTCTGACATTCTCATGATCAACTGACCACCGAGTCCTAGCTCTCAGGCCTTCCCCTCGCTTACTCGACTAGCCACAAGTATCTCGTGCTGTCACTCTGTTTGAACGGATTTCTACTTGCCACAATGTATCGTGGAGACCATGCAGAGCAGAGTCCATCACAATGACGTTGCAGAACCAACACCAGCATTGACTGTTGTAACTTGTAAAACGGATGTACACATAACAAAACTCATGTCCTAGCACAAAGTCCAAATCCAAATGGACGAACAACCAGACTATTCTTTCTGCCAGAAGCTAACAGTGCAGGTGAACTAAGTAACGAAATCGGTGATGTGTCTTTCGTTGACACGCTTGATGCTTTTAGTTTGACATCCCGGTGGCGGAATTTCTTCTTCTTTTTCTTCCTACTTGTCTTCTTCTTCTTCTTCTTCTTTATTTCTTCTATCTTTCTTCTTAGTCTGCTTCTTCTCCTTCTCTTCTTTTTCTTCTTCTTTTTCTTTT